GTCCCCATCAAAATGTCACAGTTCGATCTGAACATCATGTACAAAACCAGTGGTATACAAGTGAGTTAAAACAACTAAAGTCCGAGCTAGATGATATTTTTTACAATCTCACTACATTCAAGACTCCTAACCTACGTGATCTGTACAATGAAAATAAACGACAGTACAAAGCGAAAATCAGAGAGTCAAAACGAAAATACACTTCTCACCTACCTAATACAGTCGGCCTCAAATAAAACTAGGAAAACATGGCAACTTATTAATGAACATTTAGGAAAACTTAACAAAAAAACTGAAATCAGATTGTAGTCGATGATACGATAATATCAAACAAAAGCGAAATGAGTAACACTTTTATAGATTACTTTTCTAATATATGCAATAAAAAACTTGTTGACACTTTTGGTCAGAACATGGTGCTACCTATACTACAACTATTTAAAACTGTAATGACTCATACGCGTGATCAGAGCTCGATCCCGGCTTCCTTCCAGTACAGCCGTATAGCGTACGACATATGTCGTTTCTGTGGCTTTGCGGTGGTCAACAGCACAGACACAGATGGAAATAATGGCTGATTTTTCTCCGCCGGTAGAAGAAATGAAATCAAAGACGCGCCTCGACCGGCAGACTCATAGGCGTCAGCAACGCATTGGAACGTGTTTCGTTGAGCGATCGCATATTGTGTGTTTTTATAAGAATTGTTGTGTGATTGTTATTGTTGTGGTTTCTGTGGTTACTGTTTTGGTTATACTTAACCATGGAGAGTACAAATGGCACGAGTGGAAGTACTGAAAGCCAGGGAACAAGTAGACGGCTTCGTAAACCACTGAAGAGCGACGCGAAAGAAATCGTGCTCAACGTGTTCAATTATCTGAACAGAACTATATCGCAGGGAGATGCACTCGCGCGTTGTGAAAGTATGACAGGCGTTCCAGAGTGGACCATTCGCAGGGTGGTGCATGAAAAGAACCGCACATTCATTCTTCTTTAGGAATGAGATACCAACCCTCAAGGCTGTACATGCAGCGATCAAGGAAAATGAAATTATACCCCAAATGAGCATCGAGGTAATGAGGAAATCCCTGCACGAAATTAATTTTCGTTACCAAACGCGTAATCGGAAGTCAGTATTGATAGAGAGACCTAAAATAGTCGCCTGGCGTCGAAAATACCTACGCGAAATGATTGAATATAGGCGACAAAGCAGAAAAATCTATTATTTGGACGAGACATGGGTAAATGCAGGTCACACAGTTAAAAAAACCTGGATAGACAAAAACGTAGTGAGTAACCGACAAGCAAGCATTGAAGGTTTGTCAACAGGTCTTCGTGGACCGTCAGGGAAAGGTCAAAGATTGATCGTAACTCATATTGGTAGCGATAGTGGCTTTTTAGAAGAGTGTGACTTGATTTTCGACTTTAAGAAAGGAGGTGCTTACCATGACGAAATGAATGCCACCTGCTTCGAGAGCTGGTTTCAAGGGGTGCTTCAGCGAGTTGAGCCCAACTCTGTGATCGTCATGGATAATGCTTCCTACCATAGTCTTCGAGCCGAACGTGTACCGACTATGGGATCTCGAAAAAGTGACATGCAGCAATGGTTGCGCGAAAAAGGAATCCCGTTTGACGATTCATGTGTGAAAGCGGAAAAATTAAACAGCACAAACCTGCGAACATTAGTTACGTGACTGATGAGATGGCCCGTCAATGTGGTGTCACTGTGCTGCGGTTACCGCCCTACCACTGTGAACTGAACCCAATAGAGCTCATCTGGGCTCAAGTGAAGGGTTATATTGCGCGCCATAACACAACCTTCAAATTACCAGACGTTAAGGTTTTACTTGAGACTTCCATACAGCTAGTAACGCCCGAAGCTTGGCAGAATGCTATCCGTCATGTTGTGAAGGAAGAAACAAAAATGTGGCAGCTTGACCACCACATCGACACCATCATAGAGCCAGTTATAGTCAATTTCAACGAGGAAAGCGATAGCGACAGTTTATTACTGTCAGATGTAAGTGGAAGCGACGATGAATAAAGGTAATTCCCAAATTTTTGACTTACAATATGTTTCAAACCACTCTTTATTAAGCATGTGACAAATCTAGTTCATCCATGTTAAACATTCATACCCCGCCTATGAACAGTCGACTACTGGTAGTTAAGTGATGTTCACGTGAACATCGATGAGTCATTACAGTTTTAGATAGTTATAGTATAGTACTCATTCAGTGTTAGACTAATCACATTAGACGAAAATACTCCTTGTTTGCGATATAATTGTGAAGTCTGGTTTTATCGATGCAAGTTGTATTTTGAACATGGACGCATAAAATGGCTACAACAATTTTTGTGGGAACACTTTTTATTCGACAACAAATAATGAGAAAACGTGTTTTTTGGGATTCAATCGAAAGTGTTGGTAGGAACGGAAAAACTCTCCAATGTCTGCCCACAAATGCGTGAAAAAGGTCTCGATTGTTACAAATAATGAAACAATCCAGTTTCTGCAACGAAAATTCCCTGGACGTCTGATGTCAAAAAGAGGTGACATTGACTGGCCACCCAGGTCTCCAGATTTGACCCCACCGGACTTCTTCTTGTGGGGTTATTTGAAAAGTCAAGTGTACGCCAGCAAGCCCCAGACCACTGAAGAACTCAAGGTAAACATTCGTACCGCAATCGCCGCTTTACCACCAGAGATGCTCGAAAAAGTAATGGAAAACGCAGCAAAACGGGCACATTTTGTTTTGGCTTGATATATGTTGTGTTCAAAAACTAGTCCCAATAAATCACAGTCTATACAATTATCAATGAATTTGCAGTGAATAAGGGGCAATGAGACGGCGGACACTCTGGCGAAAACAGGATCAGCCAGCAAGCTCGTTGGTCCTGAGCCAGCTCTAGGAGTGACCGCGCATAAAGCTAGGAGGAAAATGGAGACGTGGGTTGCAAGACAACACTCTCAGAAATGAAGAAGTATCTCTAGACATCTCCGCCAGGCACGAGAGCTCATTGAAGGACCCAGTGCTAAGGATGGACGCTTCTGCCTATCTCTGGGTAGAGCTAACCTAAGGTTGCTGGTGGGACTGTTGTCTGGCCATAACACGTTAAGGCGTCACCTGCACGTGATGGGGGTGGCTGAGGATCCCTTTTATTCAAAATGAGCTTTTGACAGTTCCTGGTATTTATGTATATAAATGTGTTGACTATGTAAAGCGAAACATCAACAATTTCAGCATACAAAAGGGACATCATACCAAGACCAGAAATTCCATTTTCAAAGCTAATCATTTTAGAAATGTGGCATATACAAAATCACCCCAATTCAACTTCATATCATTGTAGGGCACCATGTTTTGTCTTATGAGAGAATTATATAAGATTCAATAACAAAATGTGAAATGAAATGTATTAAAATAGTAGATAGTGTTAGATAGATAAGGATTATCAAAAAATGTTTTGTCATTAATAGATATGAATATAACAACAAAAATAATATAAACAGTACACCACAAGATAGTGAAACTATATGAGCTGATAAAAAATAAACGCAGTCAATTAATTTTGTAAACATGAGGTAGCAAACAGGAATTCTACTCCAAATACCAAAAAATAGTGCTAATGCGATTATTTTATTTCTCAACATTGTTTAAGCATCAGAAAAGAATCTAGACTTACAAATACAGAGCTTTTTTCCAAACATCTAGCTATGTAAATATACTAAGTGACATATAAATCCGAACACCCAGTTTAAATGGTTTTATTTTAATAAAATTTTGTATGAGTACTTAATGAAGCATAATAAGTAAATGATAAAAATTTCAAAATGATTACACTGCTTTAAAGCCCTTTGACCTTTAATAATGTGTGGATGCACCCTGATGTGCTACGCATTCTCCAACGCGCCTAGGCATGCTTCTGATCAGGTGGTCAATGTCCTCCTGTGGTATCTCATTCCAGGCAACCACCAACTCCTCTCGAAGTGCTTCTAGAGTCTGAGGAGGACGTTGCAAATTGAGCAATCTCCTACCCATTATATCCCACACGTGCTCAATTGGGGATAAGTCGGGAGATCTTGGTGGCCATGGTAACAATGTGACATCATTATGTTGAAAGAAGTCTATTGTGACTCTTGCAACATGTGGTCGGGCATTATCTTGTTGGAAAGTTGGATCTGCCAGGGTGTCAAGATAGGGTAAAAGATGGGGTTCTAGAACTTCGTGGATATAACGCTGCGCGTTCATGTTACCTCTGATGAAGATTAAAGGTGACCTGGAACCATAAGCTATAGCACCCCAAACCATAACTACAACAGTGTGATGATCATGTCTTTCAACAAAAAAACTGTGGTTTCCTCCTTTCACCACGTCGCCTTCTAACCCTGGCACGACCATCGTGCATGCCTAAACAAAATCGAGACTCGTCACTAAAGACAATAATGTTCCATTCCTGATCCCAGAGTGACCGTTGCGTCCAGTGCCCCTTGCTCTTTGCGTACGGCCTTCTCGAAGCCATGCCTGACAACACCTAACCACAGTGTCTACACTTCTTTGCACTCTAACTGCAATTGCCCGAAAAGAAAGTCCAGCTTCCCGAAGTCCCACTATACGGCCCCTATCAAACTCACTAAGTTGACGAAATCGTACAGATCTCCGTACTCTAGGCATCGTAACCGATCGTAAAAGATGTCAAGAACCAAAATCCGCCAACGTTGATTCTTTACTGCGGCTGAAATATTCATTTTTAGAGCGTTAGTGAATTAAAAAAAGCAGTATAAAAACCGGAATGACCAACTGATAAGGCTTAAAATTTTTTCACTTGTTATTTACAGTAAGATAAATACATTCACCAACTTTTATTAAAATAAAACCATTTAAACTGGGTGTTCGGATTTATATGTCACTTAGTATATGTACTTTCTTAGACTCAATTTTTTGTTTTCTCATATAGCAACCTTATCATTAATAAATAAAATATAACTTAAATAAAATTACCTTTTTCTTTAAATAACTTGCACTGTTCAATTCTCTCTTCATCATCAAGTGCCCAACTATCTTTGATCTTCTCAAAGTTCTTCATTTCGACAGTATACTCCAAAGTAGCATTTGGTGGTATGCCAAGCTCTGGACAGCCTTTGTCACCATAAGCATACTGTGGCTGTATGGTCAATGTGGAGATCTCTCCTTTTTTGAACTTCTCTACAGCAATTTCTATGCCAGGAATGATATTAGCCTCAGAACCCTCTCCAATAACGAAAGTAATCTTTTTGTCCTCAAAGACTTTGCCTTCATGTTTTCCTGTTAAGTGGATTTCTACTGTTGCACCCTCGTTTGGTGTGGAATGGCCTTCACCAGCCTTAACTTGCAGTCTTTCAATACCTAAAGAAACAACAGAGTTCAAATACTGGCTATAAGTTAATTTAAACATTCCTCAACATATATTTTTAGCAACCCTGTCCAAAAATGACAGCAAATTCAAGGAATTAGAAAATACACCTCAAATAAATTTTGGAATGTCTACGATCAGAGGAACTCAAACTTAAAATGTGGTGTGCTTTATGTTTAACCAATCATCTGTCAGGATTGTTCTTATCTCTGTGTGAATATGGGGGCTGGCAGCTCAAAGTAGATGAAAATGTCTAAAAAATGATTTCAGACCCTAGTTTTTGGGTGTAGATGAAAGAAATGGGACTGAAAATGAGCGCAAACATGAAAATTCTGAAACATTTTACCATATAATAGGTTTTTTTGAATGTTTGTTTTCAAAGACTGCAATGTTGCCAGATTTCATCCATAGGTTTTCGTGTTGATGGATATTCTTAATAATTAACTTTGTATGTAGTGCGACTCAGAGGGCAACGAATTCTAGACTTACAGGAGAGCTGATACGCATGAACATGAGTATTTTTGTTAATTTTCATATATTTCTCCAATATGGTAATGTGACATATGTATAGGATCTGTTCCATTCTGCAAATGTGATTAAGGTGTTTGTACCTTAAAAATCCAGATACCAACAATATTCAGCAACTAACCCATTTGCAGGCATTATCAATCTCATTTCATTTACAACTCAAACCTAGTGCCTATTCAGATGGAGAAAAAAAAAGGCTGGTGTAACTAAGCTAGAGAATTACCAAGAATTTAATTTGTAAATTATTAAACAAGTATTTTAATGAGCAAATAGACCTGGATATTGTATCACATGAAAGGGTTTAATTTGTAGATTATTGTGTACTTTTAGTGACGAAGTCAAATTATTTGAAAGTTGGACCAATTTATCAGCACGATTTTGAACTCCCAGGGGAAAATCTCCCATATCGAGTGTTATTTCTACTTTAGGTAGATACAAGTATTTAATTTTGTATCAGGGTAAGTAGATATTTTTAGGTGGAGTAGAAAAATATCACAAAGGTAACACTCCACCTTTCCAATTTTGCTGTTAATCTATATCAGTTATAATGTTGTATTATTATTTAATGCTGAATTGTATTATTTTTTATCTGACAAAATAATTAGATAATAAAATATCCATTGGATGCCGAGTCTACAGTCTAGAACTAGGATCTGATCCGAAACTGACTGAAATCACAAAAAACACGGAATTCTTAACCTACCTTTATCTTTCTTTGGACTTAGATCTTCACCCTCCCAATCTAGTACCTCAACATCGAACTTCAGCGTGGAGTTGGGTGGGATTGTAGGCGGACTTCCAGCCTCCCCATACGCGTATTCAGGGGCACATGTAAGCATAGCTCTTTCGCCCTTTTTCATTGTAGTCACACCAATATCCCATGCTTTGATAACGCTGCCTCTGCCTAAATCAAACTGGAATGGTGTGCCTCTGTCTCTACTGGAATCGAATTTGGTACCGTCTACGAGTGTACCAGTGTAATGCACGGTCACTTTGGAACCATGCGGTGGTACGGCTTCTCCAGACCCCTCTTTCAAGATCTCTTTCAGGACTCCTCCGTCTTTGTTTGGGGAGATGTCCACCGGTTCGGCCATGTCACTGATTTACAATACGCAAGAATACAATTTTACGCCGTGGTATCCTTATCTTTGCGCTTTTCTAGAATTCGCAACAGTTTTACGCTTGAAATCTTGTCAAACTGTCGATATTCGATGAAATGCCGGTCATCCACAATTCCACATGCTTAGAAAAATCTAGTAAATAGATTTTGGCGCCATCTAGAAGTCACGTATTGAAAGTTGTTTTAAGAGACATCTATTGGTATCAAGTATTAAAACTTTTATTGAACTCTTACGAGGGTGATTCCAATAGCCTAATAGTCCACTATTTTTCAAAAGTATAATAATGATTTACTTTCAATGGTGATCGTCACTGGGTGTTCAGTCCAGACTATAGGGTGAGTACACATACACTGAAGTTAGGCGGAGCTTCGTGACGTCACATAGAGAGTTGTCGGCTCGTATACTATAACTATCTAAAACTGTAATGACTCATCGATGTTCACGTGAACATCACTTAACTACCAGTAGTCGGCTGTTCATAGGCGGGGTATGAATGTTTAACATGGGTGAACTAGATTTGTCACATGCTTAATAAAGAGTGGTTTGAAACATATTGTAAGTCAAAAATTTGGGAATTACATTTATTCATCGTCGCTTCCACTTACATCTGACAGTAATAAACTGTCGCTATCGCTTTCCTCGTTGAAATTGACTATAACTGGCTCTATGATGGTGTCGATGTGGTGGTCAAGCTGCCACATTTTTGTTTCTTCCTTCACAACATGACGGATAGCATTCTGCCAAGCTTCGGGCGTTACTAGCTGTATGGAAGTCTCAAGTAAAACCTTAACGTCTGGTAATTTGAAGGTTGTGTTATGGCGCGCAATATAACCCTTCACTTGAGCCCAGATGAGCTCTATTGGGTTCAGTTCACAGTGGTATGGCGGTAACCGCAGCACAGTGACACCACATTGACGGGCCATCTCATCAGTCACGTAATGTTCGCAAGTTTGTGCTGTTTAATTGTTTCATACAATTCCGCTTTCACACATGAATCGTCAAACGGAATTCCTTTTTCGCGCAACCATTGCTGCATGTCACTTTTTCGAGATCCCATAGTCGGTACACGTTCGGCTCGACGACTATGGTAGGAAGCATTATCCATGACGATCACAGAGTTGGGCTCAACTCGCTGAATCACCCCTTGAAACCAGCTCTTGAAGCAGCTGGCATTTCGTCATGGTAATCACCTCCTTTCTTAGAGACGAAAATCAAGTCACACTCTTCTAAAAAGCCACTATCGCTACCAATATGAGTTACGATCAATCTTTGACCTTTCCCTGACGGTCCACGAAGACCTGTTGACAAACCTTCAATGCTTGTTTGTCGGTTACTCACTACGTTTTTGTCTATCCAGGTTTTTTTAACTGTGTGACCTGCATTTACCCATGTCTCGTCCAAATAATAGATTTTTCTGCTTTGTCGATTATATTCAATCATTTCGCCAAGGTATTTTCGACGCCAGGCGACTATTTCAGGTCGGTCTATCAATACTGACTTCCGACTTCCGATTACGCGTTTCGTAACGAAAATTAATTTCGTGCAGGGATTTCCGCATTACCTCGACGCTCATTTGGGGTATAATTTCATTTTCCTTGATCGCTGCATGTACAGCCTTGAGGGTTGGTATCTCATTCCTAAAGAAGAATGAATGTACGGTTCGCCTTAACGCCATTTTGCTATCGTCATCCAATTTAACGGCCTTTCGTCCCTTCAAATTAAACTTTGGATCAGTAGTAGCTCCAGTTTTCTTCTTTTCATGCACCACCCTGCGAATGGTCCACTCTGGAACGCCTGTCATACTTTCACAATGCGCGAGTGCATCTCCCTGCGACATAGTTCTCTTCAGATAATTGAACACGTTGAGCACGATTTCTTTCGCGTCCCTCTTCAGTGCTTTACGAAGCCGTCTACTTGTTCCCTGGCTTTCAGTACTTCCACTCGTGCCATTTGTACTCTCCATGGTTAAGTATAACCAAAACAGTAACCACAGAAACCACAACAATAACAATCACACAACAATTCTTATAAAAACACACAATATGCGATCGCTCAACGAAACACGTTCCAATGCGTTGCCGACGCCTATGAGTCTGCCGGTCGAGGCGCGTCTTTGATTTCATTGGTTCTACCGTCGGAGAATAATCAGCCATTATTTCCATCTCTGTCTGTGCTGTTGACCACCGCAAAGCCACAGAAACGACATATGTCGTACGCTATACGGCTGTACTGGAAGGAAGCCGGGATCGAGCTCTGATTACGTGTTGATCACGCGTATGAGTCATTACAGTTTTAAATAGTTGTAGTATAGTTACCACGATACACATACACTGAAGATAGGATATTGCGATGTGGGCGGAGCTTCGTGACGTCCCCGGAGAGTTGTCGGCTCATGGTTACCAGCGGCAGGATTGTCGTAACGTTACTGCAGTTCACATGTATCGTGGTTAATACTATACATATAGTGAGATTTGTTGGTGTTTTTTGGTGGTTTTGTGACCTGTTCTATTACTTATACATACTTTATATAGCCTGTGTGGTTGATAAATTATTAAAAATGCGGTGTGCTGTTGTGGGATGTAATTCCGACAACCAGTCTAAACGCTATCCTCGCAAAGACAGATTTCCTCAAGACCCAAACCTCAGCAAAAAATGGCTACATCTTACAAAAAGAAAAGAAAAAGTCAATATAAAAAGCGCTAGGGTTTGCTCGAAGCATTTTTGTGGTTACACCCCTAAAAGATATCGTGCTCTAACAGATGATGCCCTTCCTATGGAAAATTTACCCAAGTCTCTATCATCACCTGGACCATCTACATCTGTTGATGGGGAAAAGCGGAAAAGTGCTTATGAAAAAAGGCAAAGGGCTCAACTTATCCCCTAGAGTTCAAGTATAGAATAAGGTCATATATTTTGGGGCGAAACGAAGGCGTATACCCAGAGTATTGCAGCGTAGAGGAAGAGGATACTCCGGACATTCCACTAACCGCGTCATTAACGAATAAACTGAATGCACCTGAAGTATCAGCTGACTATAACGAGGAAGTTTTAGTAGAAGAAATTGATGAGCTGGAGTATGATGGGCTGAAAAATTTGGCCGGCTTTGTTTGCCATAAATTGCAGGATGAGAGGTTGAAAAGTTCCTCAAATGAAACTTACTCCTGGATAGACCATCTTAGTGAGAGTGGATTATCAAAACCTTCTACAGCTTTCATGAATCAAATTGCGAAGCTTAATAAAGTGTTTACTACATTCAATGGGGACGGAATAGTGACAGACAAGCAAAATTTTATAGACGAACTTCTGTTGAAGAACAGCACCACTGACTGCCCTGAAAAAGCTAAGAAACTATTTTTCAGGTCAAGGATGTTCTTCCAGATTAAAGAACTGAGTAAAAGTTTGAATAAGACCATAAAAATCGTGAAAGGAAATGGAGAAAAATTTTGTGGCTTAGACTAAGTCATTGCCATTCAATGTTATACTGCCAGCTTACTGCAAAAAGATGATAACTCCATTTTTCTACTTTTCGAGTTGCGTACATTTCCACACTTGCATGTAGTTAGTACTTAGGATGTTCTGTGAAATAAGAATGAATATATCTAGTGCAGTGTTAACGACATGAGCATATGTTAATCCTGCTCCACAGAACATACTAAAACATAGGTAATGTAAAAAAATCTTGTTTTTACAGTAAAGTGACGATACACGCTCTATTGTGGAGCTAGAAAGCCGTTTAAGCTACAGCCTGTGGGATAGGAATTACAAGGTTGAAATCTTTTATTTAAATCCGCCCTTTTGTATTGTATGAAATTTTAATGTGGATTGTGTCACTCGCACCGCTAAGACGAATCCAACGACACTTAATATGTGAAAATCCGTCCAGCCGTTTGGCCTGTAGGTGGAAATATGCTCGTTTTCAACCCAAATGATATTCACTCTCCGCGTGACGTCATGCGCGCCGGCGGACGAAAATCGAACAGGGGAGCATCCGGCACTGGTAGTTACTAGCGGCAGGATTATCGTAAAGTTACTGCTGTTCGCGTGTATCTTCGTTAATACTATATATACAGGGTGTCCGCAAAGTTGGGGTTTTCCTTTTCAGTAACAACTACCCTTGAAATAACAAAGATAATGTGTAGTGAAACGAGGGCGACCAAGTAAAAAAAAATAAAGGAAAAAGTACTCACTCTCCAGTTGACGTCTCTGCCCGAAATCATACCGCTCCAACAGAAAATGAAATCAGCTGATGCGCTACCGAGCAGACGCAGGCAAACAAGGAAGGCAAAATGTTGCGTAAAAAGTCTAGGTATTGCATCCCGTCCAATCGTTCACCATGCCAGCCCAAACATTCTACTGATCAAACATGAGTGTTGCGAAAGTTATTCACCACATTACGCGTGAACGTAGATTCGTCTGTCACCAATATGCACTTCAAAAAGTCCGGATTATTGTCATGTTGATGCAACAACCACTCACAAAACCACACTCTTGCTGGTTAATCGTCAGGTTGAAGAGCTTGTACACGTTGGATGTGAAACGGACACAGCCCCTCTTCACGCAGCGTTTGTCACACTTTAGTTTTTGATACTTGCACTTCTCTAGCCACGTCTTTAGTGCTTGTTGAGGGATTCTCGTCTACGCGATTACCTTTACACGCGTGACCGTAACCCATCGGTTGAAGGTTGCATACTGACCTGACACACTGACCCCGACCCAGTTCTGTCGTCAGGTTGAGCTAGTGTCCTAGTACCACTCGGGGTCTCGGGGATGTCGCGGCTACAGGACGGTATTCAGATATTTTTGATGTTGCAGAGCACTTTATCTCGGTTCCCTTAAGACATTGGTGTATATGGTACTAAGAAAAATTGCTTATGTTTTCAAGATCTACACGTCGTGTAAAGGAAAACCCCAACCTTGCGGACACCCTGTATATACACAGGTATATATATATATATAATGTGATTTCTTGGTATGTTTTGGTGGTTTTGTGACCTGTTGTATTAGTTATACATACTTTATACAGCCTGTGTGGTTGAAAAATTGTTAAAAATGCGGTGTGATGTGGGATGTAATTCTGACAACCAGTCTAAGCGGAATCCTTGCAAAGACTTAAAGTTCGACAGTTTTCCTCAAGACCCAAACCTCAGCACCCTTGCTCAACTATTTCTTCAGTGCTTCACTCGATGTTAATCAGTGCTTACCGAGAATGCCTAAAGCTGAAGCATGTTTGGTCGGAAAGGGATTCAGTTCCAACAATTCTGTAGACGAATAAACCTATGTTTAAGATTCATATGATGATGTATAATGTAATCCTTCCAACGCCATTTTGAGAAGTTTCGCTAGGCGTTCTATCTTCGATTTAAGTCTTGATCATTTGAGTCCTTCGCTACCTTAACCTTATATTCGTCTCCATGAAGTATCATTTCAGTACCATAGTTTATAAAATAAGTAGTTTTCCCAGTGACCTCATGAATGGCAGTGTTAACGGCGCACTCAAAAGATTGTAATTTTTCGTCCCATATACGATGGTTATCTTTGACAAAAGCTTGCAACATTGAGCTTAGAACGCGGTTAGCGCGTTAATTTCAATTTGGAGAAGGACGATAATTGGGACTGCATGAAAGTTTAACGCCATATTTATTTGCAACATTTTCAAATAATTTACTCTTCAATTGCACGCCATTATCACATCGAATGATTTCTAGGACTTCATGGGCTAGAAATATTTTTCCTCAACCAATTTAACCACAGAATCAGCGGTTGCACGCCTAATTTTGAAGAATTGATTGTACTTGCTGAAAGTGTCTGTGACTACAAATATGTGCATATACCCGTTACTCTTCGGAAGCGGCCCAAACAAATCCATCTTCAAAGTGACCAGATTCCATAACTGCTCGTCTTGTTTCTTTGAGAACTACACTGAGTGACAAAAAAAGGTAAACACCTACGCATGTTTATCTGATTTTAATAATTTTTGTCATATACCTATGTTAAATGTCCCTTACTAGTAAAATGGTTAAATTTTCAGTTTGATTCGTCAACTGACTGCAGAAGCTGGTTCAATAATGTGTTGAGGATCCACGGTTTCTTATACACTCATTGACACGCCTGGTCATTGTGCTGATAAGGTGGTTGATATCCTGATGAGGTATCTCATTCCAGATGAGGCTACTGCAACTTTGTGAGTAAGAGCTGCCTAAAGTCTGTGGAGGGTGTTGCAAACTCAAAAGCCTGCGACCTATCATGTCCCAGACATGTCCATTTGGAGATAGGTCAGGCGATCGTGGTGGCCAAGGTAAACGGTGGATGCGATGTTGATACATGAAGGCTACCGATGCTCTGGCAATATGCGGTCTGGCATTGTTTTGCTGAAAAATCGGGTTGTGGATGGAATAAGATGAAGCTCCACTACTTCCTGAATATAGCGTCGGGCTGTCATATTGCCTCTGATAAGCAATAGCACCCCATAGCATAACTTCCATGGTGTGGTGAACGTGGCGCTTTCTGTCAAATTGTGGGTCACGTCTTTCACCACGTCGCCTTCTCACCCTTTGCCCGACCATCGTGGATCCCCCATACAGAAGCAGGATTCGTCACTAAAGACCATCTGATTCCATTCCCGGTCCCATAGAATTATTTCTCTACACCAGAGCAAACGAATACGCCGATGTTATCACTCAGTATATTATATCAATATTGCAAAATTTTAAACTAGGAAATCATACTTTTGGGCTTACCCTCGTATAAACATAGCAGAAAAAGATTTTTGTAACGGCTTTTAGGGACACCTAGTAACGAATTGAAAAAGCTGTCATATAAATATTAAAGATTTCTGTAATTTTACATCTACAGTATTCTGCTGCCTTGCCAGAGGTTGGAAATTTACAACGAATCTAAAGAATTATAACCTCAAAACACAAGATTATAACAAAGTTTGTGATGAAACCATAATCAAATTCAAACGGATAACCAAATAAAAATTTTATTTACCATTTTGGATTGGTATTTATACCATGGTTCCATCGTTAAAAAAAATTTTCAGAAAAACAATATTTCTCCCATTAATATTATGAAAGTTATATTTTTTAAACTTTCCATACACTGGTGTAGACGAAAAAGCACCGATTATTATGGGATAATAAAAATAATCAGTAATTATATACCGTTTTTCTAAAATAAACAACTTGCAACAAAATCGCGGTTAAATCTACGCGTTCAAGCGATTCGAGTAACTGACGTCTTCAACCCGTGTGTCATCTTGAACCATATTATAACCGCGCCACATGACGCAGAAATTTTGGTTATTCGCTTGGATTTGTATCATTTTGAAATCTTCATTTTGTTCAGTTTCATAGAGAAATTGCGGCAAAGGTGTATGACGCATGTTAAGATTGATAAGACTAAAATTTCAAATAACCTCAATTTTCTGACAGTGACAGGTGACATTTTTCCTAAGTTCTTCAAAAGGGTATATCCAAATGAAATAAATTGTATAGTTTTAGATCAAAAATGAAGGACATCGAAGCAAAAAGAGAAGCGAGAAGAAGAAAAATTCTAGAGAATGCTGATAGGCGTTTAAAGAAAATCACTGGAGTTGAAGACAAAAATACAGTTGCTGAAATCGATGGTATTTTCATTTCACGATTTCATTACAACCTTCAACAAGTACAAGCTCTACTTGATATTCATTATTTTTTAAGAACAATTAATACCATTTACTACTTTGTTTCAGCTATAGCAAAAAATCTGCATTACAATGAAAGCAGTGTAGGTCAAGAAATCAATGGTATACTAAGCACACACTCTTGGAGCCAAGAAACAGGCGATGACTTGGAGATTAGGACACTTTACAATAACATAACTGCCCAAGAAAATTCTGTACCAAAATTGGAAGTGAGAGTTGCTCAAAAAGGATGGCATCAGTTTTACATTTTCATTCTTCCCATATTACTTAGTTTAGGTCTCGCATCATGTAATTTGCTAAAGGTAGATCCTGAAACAATATACCTAAATCGAATATTCTTACCTTTGATAGCATTTGAGATAATCAATTTTTATGGAGGTGCTCAGCAAGACTCGTCAACCTCAAGTTTGATCGCATCTCTCTTAGTAACAAATAGAAATAATTATCTCTCAACATATTTTAGATATACCAGCATATTTTTCCATATATTTCAAGATGTTCTGATATATTTCTTTGTATTTATAGTAAGTCATACCTTTATGAACATAATATTTTTTCCAAAATTCTGAATTTGTTTGGGTGCCTCATAGATATGGTGTATATAATTGTCTCTCAAATAAACAATTTTATTTAACATTTCTTTATACTTATTGGAAAAGAAGTCAGTATGACAATTTAACACACGTTCGCTGCCACTGGCTCTTATAATATAGTCAACGTGAGATGTTCACCTTATCAGAGCCAAGGTACAATACTGCAGGCACTCAAGGGCACAAATTAGTAAAACGTGATTTAGATGGTAAAAAACAAGTATCCAGAAAAAGATACCAGCCTAGTAGCAAGAAGGGAATCCATACCCAAACTATGTACAAATGTAGAACATGCCCTGATGTTCCAGGATTCTGCTTGGAGTGCAGTGACATTATTCACAAATAACACTGATCAACAGCCAAAAAATATCCTAAATAAAATCAACAAAATATTACTATTTTTAATGTGCTAAAACCGGAATGAAACTTATTTTTTCAATATTAGTTCAGGTTTTAGAGATAAGGTAATTATATGTGTTCCTGCTGTGACAGTGTTAATATACTGTAATTCACAAGAATGCACGTGCTAAATTTTTATATTCGGCAAGGAAAGATGATGTAATCGGCATGATTGTGTTACGTTATACATACGTGTACATTATATTGTTTTATATTAGCCATTTTTTCCTCAGTTGGCTGACAGCGTTCATGCAAGATGTCTCGAAAGTGTGTAAACAATCCAGATCAGTTTTGTTACGTGTGTGGTGATGTGACTTTTGCGTCTCAGAGACGGTCTATTACTCCACTAATAACAAAGGAATATCAGCTTTATTCCAGTTGTAAACTAGGTGATCAAGACAAACAGTGGGCACCCCACATCTGCTGTAATACATGTGCTTCAAGTCTGGGGAGCTGGTTAAATGGCAAAAAACGGTCTATGCGCTTTGCTGTCCCAATGGTTTGGAGAGAGCCTACAAATCATATTAATGATTGTTACTTTTGCATGGTACCTTGTGTTGGACAAGCCACAGGTATGTCCAAGAAAAAAAAATCGGTTATTAACTACCCAAACATACCATCTGCGATGAGGCCTGTGTCTCACAGTGACGAAAATCCTATTCCAAAACCCCCAGAATCCTACACTTGTGAATCAGAAAACGAATCAGATCATGGCGATCGAGTGATTCGTCAGGAAGAAGATATGCCATCAACGTCAAGAGATCCTGATTTTATACCGAGCACGTCTTGCCACCAACCGCACAAAATAACACAGTCAGAATTAAATGATCTTGTAAGAGATTTAGAACTTCCAAAATGTAAGGCAGAGTTACTTGGATCAAGCCTGCAGCAGTGGAACTTGTTAGAAGACGATGTTTCGGTATGTGTTTTTCGTGAACGCCACAAAGATTTAGAACCATTTTTCAATATGGAGAATAACTTGGTGTTCTGCAGTAACATTAACGGCTTACTGGCGGCTTTAAATATAAACTATAACCCAGAAGAATGGAGATTGTTTATAGACAGTTCAACATTGAGTTTAAAGGCAGTGTTATTGCATATTGTAAATATTTTACCATCTCTTCCTGTAGAGTATGTAGTTCACATGAAAGAATCATATGACAATATGAAGTACCTATTGACATGCATAAAATACGATGAGCACCAATGGCATATTTGTGGCGATTTGAAAGTTGTTGCACTTTTACTTGGGCTGCAGATAGGCTACACAAAGTTTTGCTGTTTTTTGTATGAATGGGACAGTCGGGCAAAGGCACTTCATTACACCAGACAAAACTGGCCTGTTCGTCAATTCCTGGAGCCAGGTCAAAAAAATGTACAGAATATGCCATTAGTAGATTCGAAAAAAATTTTATTACCACCACTGCATATCAAGTTGGGCCTAATGCAAAACTTTGTCAAGGCATTAGATAGAGATGGGTCAGATTTTCAATACCTGCGTCAGAAATTTCCAAGACTAAGTGAGGCAAAGGTTAAAGAAGGTATTTTTGTTGGGCCACAGATTCGAAATATTTTGAAAGATACACAGTTTGAAAACACTTTAACAGGTATTGAAAAAACTGCTTGGAATGATTTCCGTCTGGTGGTCACTAATTTCTTGGGAAATAGAAAAGCTGACAACTATAAAACCCTTGTCAAAAATACGCTGTCATCGTATCAAAAGATGGGCTGTAATATGTATCTTAAGATACATTTCCTACACTCACACCTGGACTTTTTTCCTGACAATTGCGGAGCCGTAAGTGATGAGCACGGCGAACGTTTTCATCAGGATATTTCAACAATGGAAAAAAGGTACCAGGGAAAGTGGAATCCTTCCATGCTTGCAGACTACTGTTGGACTCTTGGTAGAGATGCTCCAGAAACGATCCATAAAAGAACAGCAAAAAGACAGCGTATATAGTGATTCTTATAAGTATATGAATCTTGTTACTTTTTTTAATATATCCTTAAAAATAAAAAGTTTTTTTTCTAAACCGCATCTAATTTTTTTATTTCATTGTCATTTTTGGATTCAGCGCCCCAAAATTAACAAAGAAGTGCACTTTTCCAACAAGATACAATTAAAAAACTAAAATTTGTTGTCCAGTGTAATTTTTTGCACTAAAAGTACTCTGCATTAACCAAAAATTCATGTTTGTATTCTAAAAAATAGTTATTTCTATTTATGTTCTCCAATATTTTGAGTTACAAAAATTATTTTTGTTAACGGTCGATAGTAAATGTTTTTTTTGCTTTTAGCTTATTTCTATTATAAAAAACAAATATCTTCCGACTCTTATAAGCGCCAGCTGGCATACAGGAAACCGATTTGTAAGTCAGTGCCGTCGGCTCTTAGAATTGCCACAAAAAATCTTCTAATTAAAAAAACATTTTACGAAAATACCTCAATAACTGATTTTACAAAGTGATACTACCAAAATAACAAATTAACCATTATACAACTAATTGGCTCCTGGGTAAAACCAACTGAAAAAAGGTGGCAGTCAACGTGTTAAGAGCCAGAAACGAGTCTCAAAATTAAATAAAAATAAAATATTCTTCGAACATAGATCGAAAAAGTAAAACCCAACTAATTGTATGTAAACTTTATTCAAAATAAGTAATATATGTACTGCAATTAAAATATAAATCAAAACTTAAAATACCCCATAATATCTTTGACAATTTTTTTCACCTTAGACTTATCATGTTTAGGGTCAACTTCCTCAATGTTAGCAGATGTTTTATCATCTATGCCAGCTACATTCTCATCCTTGACTTTGGGACTTCCTGCTACAAATTTCGACATATCAGAAGGAACCTTAGACACTTTTTCAATCTTCGGTGAGCTTTCCTCTTCTGGTATACTTTGCACATTAGGTTCGTTTTTTTCAGGCTTCACAGCCTTACTTTCGCCACTATCACCATAAATATCTTTTGAATTACCCATTTTGGCCTTTAAATCTTTCAAGGTGAATAATGGTGCCTCATGTTTTGTGAGTTTCTCTTGCTTGGTAACTTCATGGCTTTTGGAAGAAGACTCCTTATTGTTTTTGGTACTACCTAAAATTTCCGCCATTTTTGTTTTTTCTGGGGCAGCTTGTGAGACATAAAAAGAAGATTTGCTCTTGTAGCTCCTTTGACTGCTGGAAGATATATCTTCTCTTTTTTCAACAATGTTGAATGGCTCACTAGTTTCAATGTGAAACAACGTGCCTTCACCCGCAATGGCGGATGAATCAGAGTGAAGACACCCGAATTCCTATTGTGACTTTACCTTTTTCAGAGTTTTGATCTGAAATATCGAAATATCGATAGTTAGTGTGAGAACTGTTAATTCAAGATCACAAATAGCGAATTATTAGATTGGAAAAGATGTGCGGCGCTGCATCTAGGAAATGATTATTTGAAAGGATAAGACTGTGTAGGCAAACCAAGCTTGTTTGTTTATAAATCGGATTTGGAAAAAAAACAATGAATTCGGACTATGCAGAAGGAGGAAGTACACGATTTGTTTATCGCCAAAGTTGCGTAGTCGCCAATCAGGTTGCAAGTTCGTAATACAAGTCGATCATGCTTAAGCAGCTAGTTTGACAGTTGTTGACATTTCACGTTAGATTCGTACTTTTCTGCGAAAACATATAAAACTGCATAGGTTCCATATAATCGTAGTGTTCCAGACATACAGGGTGACTTCGAAGTTGAGTCATTTATTTTAGCAGTGAGTAGATCTGATCAAAAGAAATGTTTTTTTCCTATAACATTTTTCTGGTAAAATTAAAGTAACAAAGTTATAGCCCTTTAGAGGTTTGAGTACCGCCCTGTCTCAATAATAATATTATGTGCTCGTGTTTTTTTTCTACAATTTTATTCAGTTGTATTCAGTCAATGTGTCAGTCGGTAACGCGTGAGTGAATAGTGGTGTTTGTTGCGTGGCTCAAACGAAATAAAAAATGGCACATGTTTACGAAAATGCTGAACTTGTGGACATGATTCTTATTTACAAAATGCTGCCGCGGCATCACGGATTTATGCGGATCGGTTTCCCAATCGAATGCAACCAACCCCTCGTGCTTTTGTTAATGTATTACAACTCTAAAAGAAATACTGGAATATTGAAATCAATCAGTGTAAAGTGTTATGCCTATGGCGGAGTGTTGTTTCCTATATTTTTGCCAGTTAATACTTATCTATATACAGGTATGATATCACACATTTTTTTGATTGCTGCCGTTTTTTGCAGGAATTTATATACAACGTGTGAGTAGGCAGTACACGAAGTTCGTCATCAAATAAACAAAGTATTTTCATAATTTTTTTTAATAATTTTTCGCTGATTTTTCACTGCACATAAACTTTCAGAATACCCTATATATTCGAGAAATATAATTAAAGAGTCTTACCCTAGATTCACGCTTGGGGAGATGTGTCTTGGGTCTAACAAATTCAGGATGACCAGCTTCCATAACTTTTTGCTCCCATTCCCTCAGATCCTCTTCATATTTCTGCTTTGCTTTTTCATAAGCAGTGTTGTACTTCAACTTCTCTAATTCAGACATTTCCTCCCACTCTGTCCTTAGTGCTTTCTTCAACTCTTTGGATGGCACATCTTTCCTTAATTTTTGCTGTTCTGCTTGGTAGGCCATGAAACGCGATGTTGGGCGTTTTGGTTTTGTTAAATGCCTGATATCCTAAAATAATCAAGAAAATTTGACACTGACTGCTTAGTTTTTTTTGTTTAAACAAACGTATTCTGCATGAAGGTAGGCAACCATAGTCTCGTATCCCGTCGTCCACAAAGGGATCTGAAACATCCTAGACGCATCTATGAGACAGTAGCAGAACTAAACACTCCCACAATCTTCAAAGTCGATCTATAGATTTCATAGATCAGAACTGAATAACTATAGACCAATTTCTGTTATAATAAAATTGGCAAAAATATTTATAAAGACGCTGAAGATACGACTAGATAATTTTATTGATAACATTCAAATTAATATATGATTCACAGTTTAACTTTAGGAAAGGTTTATCTACCAAAGATGGCACGAAATTATTAGTAGGCGAGTTAACTAAAAATATTGGTAACAATCCAACAATGGCTGTATTCCCTAACTTACAAATACCATTTACCACTATAGATCACCAGAAACTATTGAGTAAATAAGAACATATTGGCGTTAGTGGTTAAATTATTTCAAAATTATTTGCATAATAAAATATAAGGTTAAAATTGGAAATACAGCTAGTGAAGTAATGACTGTAATGTATGGAGTTCCACAAGGAACAATACTTGCACCCCTTCTTTTTAACATATATATCAACGACTTGTATAGACTCTATTGAAATAATGGGATTTTCAGATGTCACCACCATTATCCATAAAGCCAGAACTTGGACAACATTGAAAGAAGTAATTGAGAAAGATTTAGTACAAATAACAGAAATATAGTCAACGCCAAAGTGGCGTGCACGTCATCACGATAAAAATTCCCCGACCTAATGCCTAGGTTTCTATCACAAACAATTGCTCTATTGTAGTTTCATATTAATGTGATATAAAATTGTAAAATGGTCATTACTCTCTTATTATGGTTAATAGTCATATAAACATTGTTATTAAAATATCACATAAGTTGCTTTCTGATAAATTTAGACGCATTATGCGAAATAAAATGTTTTGCAAACGCTCCAATCACTTATCGACATGTAAACGCACTAAACCGATTTCGCAGCGTTGACACATTGTCACCTTGAAACTTATTTAAACTGGGAACTGACATTTGTATTAATTTTGACACTGAATCAATTTGTGGCATTTCAAATCTTTATAAATCCTTTGGCCCCGCATACTGTAAATCAACAACTGTTTGTTTCAAAACAAAATTATTCATTTTACGAGTAGATAAAGGCAATTTTGGTATATAAAGATGCCCAAACATTTAAATAGTCGGTGTAAGGAACTCGTGGCCTCGTTAATGCACTACTTTGAGCAAGAAAGGGACAACAACGGGCCTTTGTTGCCTTTAAATGCTGTTCAAGAGGTAGGTTACTAATAATTATATGTAATGTATATTAATAATAGTGAAATTTTATTTCATTTTTTGTAGCGTGTTGCTGCTGCTTTAAAAATTAGTTTAAGGACAGTTAGTCGTATTTCCGAGGGTGTGAAAAGTGATGCAAATTTAGAATCGCCCAAGAAAAAGCGGAGTTATATTAAACGTGTAACCAACACAGCGACATTGGATACAAGTGCCATTCGAGAAGTGATCTATAATATGTATCACAAAAGTAAGATCTTATTATAATAACTTATCAGAAATTTGCATTAATTTGTTAACTAAATTATAATGTCATATTACACATGGTTTCAGAAGAACAAGTTACGATACAAACTTTATGGTCTTGATTAAGAGATAGGGCAGTATTTGATGGTAGTGCCACGTCTTTAAGGCGGTTGCTTAGAGATCTTGGATTTAAGTGGCTTAAGGACAATCCGCGACGAGGGCTCATGGAACTACCAAGTATACCTTTGAAAAGGGTGGAATTTCTAAGGCAATACAATCAAGCCAAGGTTGAGGCCTTATACCAGTTTGTCTTCCTCGATGAAACTTGGATATTTCAAAATGGGACCATATGTCGCTCTTGGCAAAATGGAAACCAAAAAAGCGTGAAAGCTATTAAAACAGATGGTAAAAGTTATGTACTTTTACACAATTTGCACTATAAAATTTAAAACTAATATATTTTAGATACATTATATTACATGCTGGAAATGAAAATGGGTTTATTGAGGGTAGTGAAGCGATATTTTCTTCGAAAACAAAATTGAGCGATTACCATGGAGAGATGAACCAGGACAATTTTTTGAAATGGTTTCAACATCAGTTATTAGAAAAATTGGAGAGTCCATCTATGATTATACTGGATAACGCCCCTTATCACAGCATGATATTGAACAAAGTGCCCAACAATGCATGGACAAAAAAAAATATCCAAGACTGGTTGACAAATCAAAACATACCATTTTTAAACACAATGTTTAAAACAGAGCTATTGAGTATTGTTGCTCGGTACATAATGCTTCTTAATTATATATATTTTGGTCGACAGTTTATATTTCTTTTGTTTATTCCTATTCTTAAAATAACTGCTTTTTTAGAAACAAACCACCTAAAATATACGTGATTGATGAATTGGCGGAACAACATGGGCACAAAGTTCTTCGTCTGCCTCCTTACCATTGTATATTTAACCCTATTGAGTTAATTTGGGGCATAGCAAAAGGTTACTATAACAGACATATTGGTAGAGATGGTAACAGTGAAAAAGACTGTTTGGATATGTGGAACGAGGCTCTACAAACGGTTACCCCAGACATGTGGAAAAATAGTGTTCGACATACTGAGCAAGAAATTTTTAAATGGTATGAAAGAGAACGAATTTTTGATCGACCAGACATCGAACCTTTAATAATCAACTTTGAGAGTGATGAAGATTCAGATTCAGACAGCGCTGAAGAAAGAAACTCCGACTAACTTTATTGTACAGAAAAAGCTTACACCAGTAGCTTACCTAATTTTAGAATGCATTTTTCTGTATGAATTCTGTAAAATAAATACCATGCATAAAATTTGGAGGACCCCATTTGGATTTTTATTCAGTACCTTTAAGCTATCAATTAAATATGGTAGTTTCATAGTGTCATCTGATCAATAATTGTCATACTTAATGATTATGCAAGTACAGATCTATAATTTTATTATACTATTATTTTTGTTCTCATTTGAGGTTAATATTGCTTATAAACCTAGATATGTAAATAATAAATTTTATTATTTTACAAAAAGTTTGGCAACAATGTAAATTTTTCAACACACCCACCTTGATGACGTGCACGCCACTTTGTTTGGCGTTGACTATAATAGTAATTATAAAAAGAACCTAAAATGTTCCTTTAACCTCTGAACACAAATAATTTACTGCTATATAATCAGCTAAATATAAACAAAACAAATCTCCAAAATCTAAATCGGGTGAACTAAGTCATGAGTATCTCGGAATTATTTGAGAGTCCCATCTTCGATGGGATGATCAAGTCCAATAGATTACAAAGAAACTAAGATGTCTGTTATGTAAGTTAAGATATTACAGTCAAACTTTCAATGGAACTTAATTAAAAATTTTATAACATACACGAGTTGAATGCCACATAACCTATGGAATCATTATCTGGGGATCCATAAATAACAAGCAGTTAAATCATATCCCTCCAAATTGCTGTTTATTGAATGAAAACTTTTGAATAGAAAAAAATTATAATGTTATATTAGAATTCCACTCAGAAACATTTGACAATTTATAAAAATTATGAATATGATATTATAAATAAAAATAAACAAGTAATTATTGCAACACCAAAAAAGAAAATTATGTTGGAATCAAGTATTATAAAAAACTGAATATCATTATTAAAAATATATTTATGTGAGTGGCTATTGAATACTGACTTTAACATGAATATCTTTTCCACATAACTAATATGTGATAAAAAAATGTGTTATATTTATATTATATAACAACAAGTAGGATGATGAACGAATGATCATATATATATTTCTAGCCCTTATGAATCAATTTATAGTAACGACTGTGTTATATATGTCTTATAATGACATCCACACACAGGGGTATTTTCTCTTTGTGGCAAATCAATTTATTTGCAATTTATGGAGGTGTAGTGATTTATGTTTACCACAAAATACAGATCACATTATTCGATTGTACCACTTTAGACTATGCATACTGGTATGCACATATACAGTTCAAATTATTTGGGAAACGTTATGATCTTTGTACTTTTTACCGTTCACCAAACAGTGATGCAGATACATTTTTAACGTTGTTTGAAGAAAAATGCGAAGAAATGTGGAATTTTAGAAACAATATAACACTTTTAGGTGATTTTAATTTAAATTATTATGGTAAAAGCATGAAAACAAGAAAATTGAAAGAAACCATAAACAACTATGGGTTCAAGCAAAAAATTGAAGAGAGTACCAGAATAACATCATTATCAGAGACTTTGTTAGATCTTGTTATTGTAAATTTCGAATGTGCAGGGATTAAAGCTGTACATACACCTAAAGTTAGCGATCACAGTTGGACAATGCTGCCCTTGGTAGGGCATTTTTCTGATACAAAAATTAAGAAAATCGTAAATACTATTAAGTACGAAAAACTTGAACGAGAACTTGCTGGCTGCTATTGGAATTTTGGTGAGAATATGGAAAAAATATATGACAAAATAATAGGAAATATAAAAACTTGTTTAGATCTTGCAACTGATAAAAAAGTGATTTGCTCGACAAAAAATACACCCTGGTATAACAAGAATATTAAGGCAGCTCAAAATTTGAGAGACAAACAATACAATAAATGTATATTCACAAAATCAAATGATGATTGGGAGGTATATAAAACTCTTAGGAATAAATGTGTATATGTAATTAGAGAAGAAAAAAGAAAATTCTACGATAAACAAATCGATAATAACAAGTGCTACAGTGTAAAGATGTGGAAGACTTTAAAAAGACTGATCAATTCGAAGCCGCATGATTGTGTAAATCAAGTTCAATTCGAAAACGGTACCGAAACAAATTCTTTGGTGATTGCAAACAAACTAAATGAATATTTTGTGGAAAGTATTGTTGATATTGTAGGTACTGCCAATGCTGCACCTGACTATATGAAAATCAGTTTCCAGGGGAAAATGTTGCATACACTTTCAAAATTTCACAGCGTATCATTGAATTATCTAAGAAAAAAAGTAAACAGTTTAAAATCAAATAACAACTCGGCCGAAATGACTACTAAAAACGTGCTGAAAAACTGTTTCGAAATTTTGGGATATCCTGTATTAAATTGGATCAATTGCTCACTGAGAAGCAGTTCTTTCCCTGAAAATTTGAAATGCTCTACAATAACACCAGTTCCCAAAATAAAAAATTCTAAAAGATGCAGCGATATGAGACCAGTAAATGTGTTACCAGACATTGAAAAATTATTAGAGTCCATAGTGCATGACCAATTAATGCAGTTTATAGAAGAAAACAAAATTTTAGTGGAGGCGCAAGCAGGTTTTCGAAAAAAATATTCCACAGAAACAGCTTTCCAGTTGCTAACTGAGAATTGGAGAAGAGCCATAGACTCAGAAGAAGTTGTCATAGCAGTATTTTTGGATTTGAAGAGGGCATTTGAAACGATTGATAGAGATATTTTGTTAGGTAAATTGAAGGCATATGGTATAACAGGAAGTGTTTTAGATTGGTTTAGAAATTATTTGTCTAAAAGGATGCAAGTTACAAACGTTAATGACACTATTTCATCAAAAATTGAAAATACGTTGGGTGTTCCACAGGGCAGTATCCTGGGACCACTTCTTTTTATTTTATACATAAATGATTTACCTGCCATAGTCAAAAAATGCAAAATTCAAATTTTCGCCGATGACACTATGATTTATATAAGTACTAAAAATATTCAGTCTGGTATCTTTTATATAAATGAAGACTTGAAGCTTGTCTCAAAATGGTTAGCATCTAACAGACTAAAATTAAATGCAAGTAAAACGAAAGCCTTGTTAATAGGAAAAAAACAATGTACAAATGTTCAACTGAATATTGATGGTGAAGATATTGAATTCGTAGAAAATTTTAAATACCTGGGAGTTTTTGTTGACTCTCGATTAATTTTTGATATTCATTATGAAAAAGTTATAAATAAGATTAGTCGTAAAGTGGGATATTTATCGAGAGTTTCTGGATGTCTGAGTTCATATAGCAGAAAAATTATCTATAATACCATCATTCTTCCAAATTTCTTGTACTGTTCGACTATTCTATGTTTAGCAAATAATTCCATTTTTGAAAGACTGCAAATTTTACAAAATAAGTGCATGAGAATAATACTAAATAAAGATAAATATACTCCAATTAGGCAAATGCTTAGCAAATTAAAATGGCTCAATGTAAAAAATTTTATCAAATATCTTGTAATGATATTCATTTATAAAGTAAAAAATAATATATTTCCATCAAGTCTAACTAATTTAACATCATCAAATGTCGACCATCATTTACATAATACCAGAAATAAAGATGACTTCCATTTAATGACCAAAAAGTATAACACAAATCTGTATTCCATCAAGGGTTGATTGAATATAATAAATTATACTCGGAGATAAAAGACCAGAAAACTTTGACAAAATTTAAAGTAAAATTGAGAAATCACTTGTTAAATCTACAATTATAGGTTGCCCAGCATTTACATCATACACCATATGGCTTGAATTTACTAGTTCTAAGTTGTTTACAATTGTTCTGTTTATGTAGCCAAATGTGCTAAATAAATCTTTCTACTACTACTACTACTATAACTGATGTCAATAAATATTATCATTTTTGAGGTTTGCATAGATGGCACTAAGATCCTTCATCTCCCTTTTTAGGCGCCGAAATACCCTGTATATGTTGATCAATGTCAAAACTCCTGTATTCAAAGTCACCATTTAAGTGTTGAGTGTTACGTAAGTATTGCGTGTGTATGAAGTAATATTCAAGTACCTACCAACCAAATATTAAACACCGTCAGATCAAGAAGTGTAGTTTAAGGGACACTTCTAACCTTTAGGTATCACTCAACAATAAGGAATTCTGTACTTACACAAAATGACATTTATATTAATAACTGAAACAGTCTGTTTAACCCATTTTTCAAAGATAATGAAGTTCATGCATGTTGTTTCCTACAGTGTGGAAAACAAGTATTTGGAATTAATATATTGAAAGAGAACTCAATTAAATCCTCTGCATTTCCGACACAATATTTTTATACAAACTAAGTCTTACTGGAGGCAGATAGCTATTAGTCTCTTTCAAAGTCCTTTGTCTAACAGCATTCTGATGACCGTCCTCAATCATTATTTTCTCCCACTCCAATAGATCCTGATCGTATTTAGCTTTTTTCCTCTGGTACACTTCCTCATATCTTTTTCTATCAGACTCTGGTAATGACTCCCATTTTTTCCTGATGTCGGGGTCTTTCATCAGTTCTTTCAGAGGTATGTTACTCATTTGGCATACCTCCATCATGTACATTGTTAAGGGTAAAAGAGGTCTTTTTGGCTTATTTGTATCTTTGCACAACTAGAAAGACATTTACATTAATCAGAAAAACCTTGAATACAGACCATCTTGGAACCAGTATAATCAAATGGAATATCAAAAAATGTAATTGCCAAAAACTGTAACTTGAATTGAATGGATGACAACTGCTAAAATAAAATGGTCAATATAATAACTAAAGTGTATCTAACGAAGCTACAAAGTAATCGTAAACAGTGGTTGATTCGTGATCAACGCGTGATCGGTAGCCATGGCGCTCTGTCGGCCTCTTCCTGATTGGCTTGTAGCGACGAGCCTCCAGACAAAGTCGCACGGTTGCCACGCTCGGCGAGTTTTCGCCAGAGTGGTTGATCACATTCGCATGGATCACAAACCAATCTGTTGGTGCAATACGTGCAATAACTGTTGTAAAAGACATTATATAACAATAAATGGCATCACAAAGGTATATTCCAATTTGATCTGCAGCAAATTATGAACGGCATATACGGAGATGCGAAAACAAGCTCAAAAAGGTGAAGAAAATTTTTGTGCAATCTTTATAGTTAAATTTTTCCTAAGAGATAGCATCAGTGAGGGAATTTTTTTCTATTGTCTTATTTTTCACATTAATGCGATGTCGAGGTATGTGGCCCTATCGCAATTGAAAATAAGGTTTCGATAATCATTCCATAAAGTTTCGATGAAATAACCTTGAGATATTCTTCAGGGAAATACAAAAATCTCCTTTTGTGTTTTTTTGTGCAGATTTATCTATTAAAATCCTATCCGCAATCTATTTTCCGTGCACACACCTTCAACCGAATGTATGCCATATATGATATTACCGTTTCCAACTTTCATCAAGGTTAATAGGAACCATAACAGCTCCCTACCCTTCCCCCCTATAAGAATATCGATTTGTAGCCTCACATTTCAAGGTTAGACTTCTTGTAATGTTTCTGTTCAACATTCGGCGATTTCTGACAATTTTCCCAATAAAACATGATCATTGTGACATTAAGCCTGGCAACGCTGCATAGTAGAGGGAACTCTCAGCGTCACGTTGATGGTTCGTCACCACGCACAGGATTGTAATCAGTTACGGATACCCGTTTATGAGCGCGAACGTTTTATGCACGTCTTGACTTGATTTTTCTTGCGGAAATTTAATATTAGTCTAAAATGTCTGACACAGATACAGCTGATGAAGTGGTTGAAATCAGCTTAACGCCACCCAGCAAAATGGCTAAAAAGCTTCATCTTAGCGCAGGTGAAAAACAAATTATTCTAAATATCTACAAGAACCAGATGCAAGAGAATAGTGGATTGGCTATAGAAAATATCGTATGTAAGGTTGCTGAAATTTCTGGAGTAGGTCGATCAAGTGTTTACAAAATCTTGAAGGAATATAGACAAAATCACTCACTATCTGAGCCAAAAACATATCCAGCGAGAAAAAAAATCATCGAAAAAATAGATGACTTTGACAGAAGTGCCATTAGAAGAAAAGTACATCACTTTTTCTTCAGGAATGAAATACCTACAATAGATAAAATATTGAAGCAAGTGAATGATGATGAGGACCTGCCAAATTTTAAAAGATCTACGTTCCATAAGCTGTTGAAAGAACTAGACTTTCGATTTTTGAAAAGAAGAAGGAATAGTTTATTGATAGAAAAGGAGGAAATTGTTATCTGGAGGAGAGAATACCTTAGAAAAATTAGGCAATTCCGCGCTGAAGGAAGAAAAATTTATTATTTAGACGAAACATGGGTGAACGCGGGGCATACGCAGGGAAAGGTTTGGGTAGACAGATCTGTGAGGTCCTCAAGGCAGGCTTTTTTAGATGGCCTTTCGACGGGATTGACGGGATTCAAAAAATCCTGCAGGTAAGTTTCGAAGTATATGAACTTTTTTGGTAACTCATTTGAAAATTGGTTCAAAAAAATTTTGCCGACACTTGATAACGCAATTATTGTGATGGATAATGCCCCGTACCACTCCAGAAAATTGGAAAAAATTCCAACAATGGCCACCAAAAAGGCAGACATTCAACAGTGGCTTGTCTCAAAGAAGATCGACTTCGACCAAACAATGGTCAAAGCTGAGCTGATAAATATAGTCAAGCGACATAAGTATAAATATGATTTAAAAATTGTTGACGAAATGGCCAAAAACCAAAATAAAACGATTCTCAGGCTGCCTCCCTATCACTGCGAACTGAATCCTATCGAGTTGATTTGGGCCGACATCAAGCAATACGTGGCGTCAAATAACAGCACTTTTAAGTTTTCTGACCTTAAAAAACTGTTTGATGTTGCTATCGATAGAATTACGCCAGCAAAATGGAGAACATGTATTGACCATGTCCAAGAGAAGGTTGAAACCAAAATGTGGGATATGGACAATATCATTGACACCCAAGTTGAACCCCTTATAATTGACATCAACAATTCTGATGATTCAAGCTCCTCGGAATACAGCATATAAATCGATTGATACCATTGGCAGTTTAACGGGCTTTTTGGCAAGACAGGTAAGTTCATTATAGACTGCAATCAAAGTGTAAGTTTCTAGTTATTAATGTGGAAATTCCAAATTTATAATTACACAAAATTAGGGTTAATTTAGGAGTTCCAAAGCATAATAGTGCCATTTTGACCTTCTTCCTATTTCTCATGTAAATTTTAATAGCAATCAAACTAACAAACTTTATGGAGTCTGTAATAAACTTTTGTACTACTACGTCTGTAGTTTCTATTTGCTCAAAAAAATTTGCTCTGCATTGTGAATAGAAGGTTGATTTGTAAATATTATTGGGTATATATGTAAGTTAATAATAAAATATGAACAATTTCAATTGAGATGGTCCACAAGTTTTTTTCGTGTGCGTTCTAGTAACATTTTGATGAAATGGCGAATACAGAATTTTTTGCACTGATTCCTAATGTCGAAATATGATTAGAAAGGCGTGGTATATTCCTGATAATTTACTATGCTTTTGATAGAATTTACAGCAACACATATCTTGTACGACATTTTTTGATAGATCAGTCACAATAGCTTGATACGGCCCTGTAGCGTCTCCTACGGTTAAGTTCTTGATCACGTGCAATACGGGTGTATATGTTTGATTTTACTTTGTTTCTTCGATGGATACAGTTTAGATAACATGTTTTATAGATTTACTAATTTTTTGTTTTTTTTTTATAAAAAATATTCAATTTTCTGGGATGGATGCTTATGATAAGTTTTTACAGGAAATGAAATATCTTACAATTCCTTTTTTGAATGCCCAAAAATTCTCTATCACATCTCCAATTTTATTGTATATACAGTAATGGACAAAAGTATATAGACAAATATGAATATTTACCTAAATACCTTTAGAAAACGAATTCATACTTCATTGCTCCATAAACAAATGCGTTATTAGTAGGAAAAGTAAATTCGTTGTTTTTACATTATATGCAATGAACACAAGACAAGTCTGAATATGTAGACAAATTCTTTTCAACATTATTTTAGTACAGTTTCTTGTCAGAAGAGAATTAGTTTGCGTTCATCAAGTATTGTGGAATAAGTTGTGTGATTTTAAGACCATGCCGCGTGGTCCAGAAATTTCTTTCGATGTGAAAACTAAGATCATTGGTTTATACAAAGATGGTCAACTTCAATTCAACATTGCCAAAAATTTGAAGCTGAAGCGTAAAGCAATATTGAACAAATATAAAGAAAAAGGTATATTGGAAGCCTCTAAGAGAAGTGGTCAGCCTAGAAAACTAAATGCTAGATCAGTTAGATTAATAAAAGTCATTTCGTCCAACGATCCGTTTAAAACCCCAAGACAAATAAAAGCCAAAATCGAGACAAAAGGAATTGTCAGTCTTTCTACAAAAACCATAAGTAGAAGATTAAATGATTTGAAGTTATTTGCACGTCGCCCGAGTAGGAAGCCGCTAATCTCGAGGAAAAACCGTAAGGACAGATTACAATTTGCACGGCTGCATCTTGATTGGAGCATCTGTGACTGGAAGAGGGTATGTTTCAGTGAAGAATCCAAGTTCAATATGTTTGGATCAGATGGTGTTCATTATGTTAGACATCCTTGTGGACATAGATTGAATCCTAAGTATACTTTGCCCACTGTCCAACATGGAGGCGGGTCTGTTATGTTATGCTTTTCGGGGTTTGGGATGGGACCTTTACATATAATAGATGGCATTATGGATAAGTTTGTATACGCAGACATACTAAAGCATGTCATGTTACCCTATATGGAAGACAATATGCCCTTAAGATCAATCTTCCAGTAAGATAATGACCCAAAGCACACTTCAAATCTCGCAAAGAAATTATTTCTGGATGAAAAAATACCAGTTCTCAAATGGCCTCCCCAGTCTCCCCATATTAACCCCATTGAAAATCTATGGGAATACTTAGATAAGCAAATACGAGATAAAAATTATTCAAACAAGGATGAACTTTTTGCCGCTTTAGAGCAAAAGTGGAGACACATTGATGAATCTTATATCAAGAAACTTCTACGATCTATGCCGAGACGATGCCAGGCGGTGATTGATAATAATGGTTATGCTACAAAATATTAACACAAACATGGTTGGTTTTCTATAATTCAATGAACTTTGCTTCTTTTTTATATAAAATTTTTATATAATTGTTTTGCATAGTTCCAGTTTTTTTCAATTAATTTTTTATTGAAGGGAATAAATTTATTTATGTATAAGTGAGTATTATGCTATAGTGGATACCAAATAAAATCCGATGCACGTCATAGGTGATGTCATTCATAAAAATCATGGTTACCAACAGTTGACTACATTCAATGTGATATTTCTACTTGAAGTTTAAATTTCCCCGTCTCGATTCGGTTGGTAGTGCCGTGCAGAGAAATGTGAGGTTGCCACTTCTCATTTGTTGACATCAGTTGCCATTGTCCTTTTGTCGTACTATTAGTTCTTTATTGTTTAGTTTGTGACTTTTGCGCTATTTGAGCTTTGAATCGTTGCCTTGCCAAT